TTCATTGATTGCTGGTGTGGGGTAGCTAATCTGTTTTACATTTTCACCTTAAAAAATTAAAGATATGTAAATACAAGACCTAAATACCCCACGAGAGCCAAGACTGTGCCAGTCCCACCCCTGATTTATGTAAGGCTGCTCTTAAAAAATAAAAATATGGGTAGGGGGGAGACTTCTATTCACTTCAAATGGTGACATTTTCTTCTAGTATGAAAACACCAAGTAGGTCAGCCTGCAATGACAACAGAAGCGACCCTGGGCCTGAGGAAGGCAGGGACTTAAATCCTCTTTTATTTGAAGTCTCCGAGCCGCCTGGGGTGGCTGCCGGTGCTCAGCTAGCCATGTGCTTGCACGTCCTGTGGAGCGAGGACCAGAGCAAAATAAAATAAAAGAAAAATAAACCAAGTATTTCCCTGGGGCAGATTGCCTGCTCTGGCTCTAATCAGCAGCAGTTTTTAGACGTTTGAGGTCTCGGCGTTTAGCTCCGAAACGTTTTTGTTCGAGCGTTCAGGAGCTGATAGTTTATATTAAAACATTCTGTGGAAAAATACTTGCAGTTCCTCCTCATCTCCTGGATGGCAGAGCTCGTGGGCCGCAGGGGCCGAGCACCCAGGGGCACCCTTCTCACTACTGGGGGCTCTCGCATCAGCCCCCCTCCTTTCCCAAGCTCTTTCTGGGGGCTTGGAAACTGGTGCAGAGGATGCCACCACTTTGTCTTCTCGGCACTCGAAGGCAACTCGCGGGAGAAAGCTGTGTGATCTCCTTCTGCTACCCCCTCCTTTTCTCCCGCCTCTCACTGCAAACTTGAATGTGAAAAATATTTTGAAATGCTCCTCTTATCTCTGTTTTCCCAGCATTTTGGAGCTGGTTGAGGCAGGAGAGATTAACAAAGGCAAGGCTATTTACATGAAGGCAACGTGGCTTATGAATGAAACGGTGACAATTGGAGTTTTTATCAACCCTCAAGGCCTGTAATATTACTACTTGCCTTTCTCAAATGTATGCAGACTTTGACAGCCCCTCTGAGACCAGTGCTCGAAAAATACCTTACTTAGGGGAGTATTGTGGCTTTTTTAGGAGTGGGACTATTGAAGCACAGGGAAGGGGAAGCATCCTATTCAAGGTCACAGAGCAAGCTGGTGGCAGAACCAGAAATAGCACCCAGAAGTTAGTAGTTTTTTCTGTATTTCCTTTCCTGTCACCGCTGTTTGCTTGGATACCGAGATAGCTGTGTGTAAACAGACAGTTTCCAGAGCGCAGCGGCCTTGTTATCTGCGTGATTCATTCAGTGATGATGCAACCTGGAATCCAGATTTCTGCAATGCCTTCCACAGTCGTGATGCTGCATGTGACATCACTGGCCGCGTTGAGCAACAGGAGTTTTAAATTTGTCTCTACCTGAAACCCCAACGTCTGAGTAAGGCCCTTCTCACGGCGATTTTATTCCTTGTGCATGGTCAGGTCCCGTCTGCTCATTCCCCTGGCAAAAATAATTGACTTGTCTTTTTGCTCTTCTTAACCCGGTAAGGAGCCCCAGAGCTGAGAAAGTCAGCTGTGGATGCTGATCCCCTCTGTGACCCACCAGCGGCTTTGTTGGCTACTAATTAGGTTCTCAGTTTGTGCAAACTCCCCGGTACCAGGGGGACTGCCAAGCTGTCAGGCTTTCACCGGCTGTCAGAAGCCAGGAGACACCTTTTAATAGCTTTTTTCGGTCACTTCTGCTACGAGAGAGCTACAGCGTTCTCCCCCAGCCAGGAGTGGGAAGCAAGCGTGGCTGGGATGAACCTCTCTTTCTTAGACCAAATCTGAGAGGAAGGCAGCAGATCTTAGATCTTTGGGAAACAGGAGAGCTCGCTTTAGAGCCACCGAGTCTCTGTTAGGAGAGGACGATCGAGAACACTGTAAAACTTCCTCCCCTGTGGGAGGTGAAAAATGAGATCGAAGGAGAGCAGCGAGTCCTTTCATGGGCATTTGCTTTAGGGATGTGGCAGAACTGCCAAAGAGCTGCACAAGCAGACGGCCGAGCTCCAGCAACCAGTGTTCATTAAGGAGCTACAAGGGTGTTCCTTACTTTGCACGCACAACTCCCAAGAAGAGGGAAGAGCAAGGCTTCGGGTGCCACGTTTCCTCTCCTCCTTGAAAGCTGATGCTTTATTCATCCTCTGGAGCCCTGGCTCGGGTGCCGGCTCACTGGGTAGCTGTGCTCCCAGGATGTCAGGAAAGCTTTGTAGCACCTTGTGATGGTTTCTCAGAGCATAGGAATTCTGTTTACGTTGTCAGCTTTTCATCAGCACGAATTAATGTTAGCAGATGGCGCACTTGTATCTGTCTCTCCAATTCTCAGGAAGTGCAGGATGGCTTAATGGGAAACGAATTATTCTTTATCCAGGATGTTTCACTGATAAACAAAATAATAAGTAGTCTTGTACGTGTGCATTGGTGGTCCGGTACTTCTGTGTCTGTCTACCTTGTCTGGAAGTACCAGCTGCAGATTTCGTCGGGGTCTTTGTGTCTGGCTGGGTTGTCATCATTAACAGAGCCTGCGTTTTGTAACGAATCTGAAAATAATGTTGATGATTTATTTTGGCAGCAGACAATTCATCTTCCAACCTGCTGCCTCTCTCTGGTCTCTTTTGGTCACTGAGGGAAACCAGAAGACAAAATTTATCAGCAGAGATGAGTAGGTGGTAATTTTGAGACAGCATCGCTTCCGAGTGTCCTTTTCTGATTATAACTACACTTGAAAAGAGACCTTTCTGTAGACCTGAAATGCTGAGATCTGACCCTGCCAGAACCATTCTCAAATAGATCATTAAAATACGTTTGGCAACTTACCCACCTTTTTTCTGTAACCTCACCAGGCTATATTTTTCCACTCGCAAAACCCTAGAAAGCTGTGAACCGGAGCCCTGGGCACAAATGATAGACAATAAAACACACTTGCAAAAGTTAGGGGAATATGTACGCTAAAAGTGACCCCTCTCTTCTCCCTGAGCATTTTCACATGAGCTTTATAAACCTGCCGCCTTTGCCAACAGTTCTGGCCAAAAGTTTAGTTGCAAATAAGTTTGGGCTGGAACAGGCGGGAGACTATTTCATTAATTTACTGCGAGAATTATTATTTTCATGATCCCGCAGCACAATTGCAACTGGTATCTTCTGACAAAGAGGTTTTGGCTAAGAACCATGCAGAGGCAGTGATCGGGAGAAGCAGGTGCTGCCTTTATATAGTAGAGCTGCAGGGAATAGGGTTGGGCACGTCTGCTATGGGCAGACTTGAGGGCTACGAAGGGACACGAATGGTGATAAATAGTGACTAAATTTCTTTACCTTGTTTCTGGATCATTAAATTAATCTGGTAGCTGTATTTGGAGCAGTGACTATGTGGGTTCTGTACCTACTCTTTCTCCTGGATGCAGAAAGATGATGTGAAAGAGAAAATTACTTGCAAGCTGTGGGGTTTCAGGGAAGTCGGGAGAGTAATTGGTGTAATTTGCTAATGGGTAGCATGGGAATATGGGGTCAGCACTGACTGGAAAAAAAATCTTAAAAACCTGTTTTGTGAAGAATCTAAATATTTGGGGTTTTTTTTCAGTGGCTGAAAGAGAATAAACAGGTAACTTCTGTAACTTCACTTCCCCCTTGCATTTCTTTTTACCACAAAGAGCTATCAAACGAGCAGGGTCCAGTGTCCCTCAGTTTTTCATTTTTCCTTTCACCTCTTAACTTGCACAAAGTTGAGGGAAAAGCTTAAATATTGGATGGAGAAGGGAAATAAAACAGAAAAGATTTCACACTGTTATTTGGAGGCTACGTTACGCTCAGCAGCGAGGCTGAGAAAGGAGAAATGACACTGCTCAAAATCTGGATGTTTCTGAATCTTTTGGTTTTGAAGTGACAGCAGAAACCCTTTTAAAATAGTTTTTTAAACAGGAACTTTCACAAGAAACTGAGAAAAAAAAGGCTCCCCCACCCTCCCATGTTACATCAAAAACCCCAAAATGACATTGTCTGCTCTCGGGAAGCACCATCGCAGCAACCCTCAGTGCCCCTCAGGCGGCTTTAACATGCCCCGTGCCCCACAGGGGACAGACACGGGGTGCCGGGGCGGTGCCGTAAGGGAACGCGGAGACCCGGGCGATGGAGAGCCTGTGTTGCAGGGCAGGGGCTCAGCCCTGCTCTTGTGCCGCCTCTCCATCCCCAGGACGTTCCTGCATGGCCCTTGGGATGCTTCCCAAGGCGGCTGAGCGATGCTGGGTGAGTGCCAGGACAGGGGGACCCGGGTGACTTGAAGATGCTGAGGGCACCAGCCCTGGGGGGTGGCAGCATGGGAGCAGGACCGGAGGACGATGGCGTGTCTGTCTTTGGGGACCTTGGTGAGGCTGATGGGATTCTGGGGCAAGGGCACGCATGGGAGAGTGGAGGTGGTTCTTTGTGGGGGTGGTTTGCGGGTTTTAAAATGATGGTCAATCACTGTTCTTCTGCTATTCGTGTTTGATTATCGGTTGTGATTATAAACCCAAATTGACCACCCCACTTTCCAAATGAAAGCAGTAGCTAAGCTGCAGGCACATACTTAGATTTGATTAAATTTTTTTTTTTTGCAGTAGTTAAACATGATAAGGCAGAGGGGGAGAAAAAATTATTTTTAAAATATGCTCTTACTCTTCCATATCTGAAGTTACCTCACTATGACACAATAATTTTCCAATGCTACTTTTCGGTTATATTTAGAAATGCATTTTCTGTTCCTTCCCTCTCCTTTCTGTGGAACAATTGTGCAACTTTCTTTTTTCTTAATATAATACTGTATTAAAATTAGCTCCAAAACTAAAAAGAGTCCTCTGTGTAGGAAGGTAACTGCCTTCCTTCCTAGCACTTCCCCTGGATCTTCCACTGGGATTTTGTTCCTGTTAGACGCGGGTTCCTCGGGCGTTTGCTGCGGTGTGTAGCTGTGTTTTCCCTGGCTGATCTCCCCTCTGCTCTTCCCAGCAGTGAGCATGCAGAGTTCAGAGGGTGGATCAGACTCAGCAGCTTCTGTGGCACTTCACACTTCTGCATCAGCCCAAGCTCCAGTAGTGCAGCCAGTGCCAGCGTCTCAGCAGGTAACGTATGCACAGCTGGGAATGCCGTTTCCATGGAGAAGAGACCTGTTTTACTGGCAGATGTATTTTAATCCAGGGTTTTTATATGGGGGAGAGGCTTGTTAATCAGCTTGTTGAGGTAGTGGGGAGAACCTGTTCCTGGACTTTGTGTTGATAAAGGCCATAGATATTTCATGTGTTAGCCCTACGAATATGTAAGCTTTAAAACATGGGATTTTTTAACTTAGCTACCCAAGGAAGTAATTTCATGCCAGTTTGGTGTTTGCTTCAGTATAATATCCTGTTGTCATTATTTGGTGTGTCGATAAAAGCAGGAGAAAATGAAACTGTCCTTAAAGGCATCTCTGCAAATAGGGTACCGAGCTCAGCAGAGAAGAGGTGGAGGGAGCGCCAGTGCGGGGACAGGGTGGAGGAGCCACATGCTGGTCTCTTCCTTTGGTAGGTGGATCCTGGCATTTTAAATTGGGGAGGGGGGACTCGTGATTCATGTACAAGAATATGATGCACTTGGGACGTCTCCTGATAGGAGAGAAATGATATAGCTTCAGCTGATGAATGAAAACTACCTAATGCAACACGGGAAGGGTTAAGTAAAACTAGTTCCTTTTTTTGCCATTTGGGGAACTATCAAAAGAAGTTTCTGTCGCAGGAAGCTGGAGGGATAAGAGGATGGGTGGGTATAACTTAGCTACACCCTTCTCCAACTCCCAAGTGAGCAGAAGTAGCTGCCATTGGATGCTGACAAAAAGGAACAATTAAAAATTGTGAATTGGTAGGAGCATTTGATTCACCAGGAGAATCGTGTGATTTAGTGCGTGGTTGGCCAGCTCTCTGTCATCTTTCAGCCTTCCCATCTTCGATTTCACTGGGTGATGTTTCTTGTTCGTATTGTAATGATGTGGATATCGCTGATCAGTAGTGTCAAGGATCTTAGGGATCGTCAGTCATTAGTGTGAATTTGACCGTGACAACATGTTAAAGAAAGTTTAGAAAACCCATTAGCTTTGGATTATTACCCATCCAGCCTTTGCCGGTGCTGTCATCATGACACGGAGTATTGAATGGAACTCTATGGATTAAGGAAGACCCAGAGGATCGTGGAATATTGCTGAAGAGAAGTGTCCAGAGCCTTCCCTTCTCACCAACAGCACAAAGAAAATACTAGGAATGAACTACTGGCAGCGTGACTGGTGTGAGGCTGAAGCCTTTGGTGTTGTTGATCACTGGTCTACCTTTCAGTGTGAGAGCAGGCTGTATGAACAGGATGGCCGCATCTTACAGGTTGGGGATGATTAAGTTTTTTTGGTTGGAAGGTGGTAGGAGCAACCGGACAGGCGGTGACAAATTACACAAGTAGCTGAGCTGGGCAGCCGTGCCAAAGGAGGAGATGTGTCGTTTGGTAAAAGCAATGATAGAGGATGGGTAAAAAGTAGGAGAAAGGAACAAATCTTTCGGAGACTTTGATGTAGGTGGCATTGCCAAGGCCTGACTTGAAAAAGGGCTTTTAATGTTCCCATCGTGCACTGGTTACAGCCTCTTCTGGAGAGAAAATGGACAGAGTGATGGGTGGCATAAGTGTATGTGTCCTTATCACTAGCTCAGCTGCAGGATCTCCAATGTATCCAGACCTACTGAAGGTCAGCCTGGGGACTGGTGATGTAGGGGCTGCCTAGAAATCTAGGCAATTATAATTTCCTATAATTCTGCTAGAATAGAATTTCTGGCTCGTTACAAAGGGCATGTTGGGAGGGTGTCAGAGGGCTAAAAATCGTAAATATATATATATATAAGGTAGCCAGTAATTGTCAAGGTCTCTTCTAGGATTCATGTGGGATTGTTTTGCAGCTTTTTGTTCAGTTGGCCCAATCTGCTGGGTATTTTTTAAAGCCTCAAGCCACAGAGGATGGCTATTTCCTTGAAGAAGGTCCTCATCAGTTTAAAAGACCATACTGATACTTGGCTTGAATGTTTCCTTTCTTACTCTCATGCTGGTACCTAGGCTCTGTTCCCATGGGCTTCACTGAATCATTTCTTTCCACCCACGATGTCCCCAAGCTGGTTTTGCTGGATCTGCAAGGTGCTTAGCACTTTACGAGGTGTGTGTCCAACCTCAAACTGAATAACACAAAGAGCAGGGGGACGATGGAAATGACAGTGGAGAGGCAGAGGACAGAGTGACCGCCACAAGGCAACACAACGTGTTTTCGTGCCCTTGGTGGCACTGAAGGGAGATGCAGAACCACCTGAGCTTTGGTGCTGGTAGAAACCTTAAGGGCTGTGGCACCTTGGAGAGTGCGATTTCATGTCGCAGGAGGCAGAGCGTGGTTTGGTATGGCAGCCGTAAGAGAAGAAACTTTGCAGCCCTAGGAGGAAAAGGTGAATGTGTGAGGAGTGGTTCTTGTTTAGCTGCGACTGAACCTCATGTTGAGCTCCTCTCGTCAATCAACTGTTTGCTCTTATTTCCTTGCGTGGATACTTAAAGATGGTCCGTGTCAGAAAATGTGGATTCAGCTCTCTGCTTTTCCCAGGTTTAGGGTGCTGAGTTCAGGCTGGTGTCTGGTGCAGATTGCATTGGAAGGATGGGAACTGCAGGGATGCTAAGTAAGGGCTACTGCTGCCTCTGGAGTAGGAGGCAAACTTTCCATAAAAGTTTGAAAGAGAATACCTAACTCACCTGTGTTACAGACTGAAAGTAAGTGTATGTTACTATATCTTCTTCTTTCAGAGGGTTTTGGTCCAAGCAGCAGGCTCCGCTCCCAAAGGAGCGCAGATGCAGCAAATCTCTGTTCCCAGAGTTAAGCAGGTTCCACAACAGGTAATATCTCTGGGGTGAGACACCACGCAGGGACCCCTGTGCCAACAGGACCCCACGTCCCACATGACATTTGAAACTGTGCCAGATAGCTGCTTAGAAAAACCCATGCTCTTAATTAAAGAGTTGTGTGCAATTAGAGAGCTGGAGATCACTGTGAGAGCAGCTTTCTCCATGTCTCTCTTCCTTTCTTAGACCGATGGCAAAAGAAACTCTGAAGATACTTAAAGTTTAGAAAGAACCTTTACTGTAGCAGTTGTCTTTCATACATTTGAAGATTTGATGGATGCTTTTAATTGCCATTTAAAAGCAGTCCTCCTCTGTAAAGATTTTTTTAGAGGCCAAGTGTTCAGGATTTTTTTTAATTACACAAATAAATGTGCTGACCGCATGTGGCTTCATAGAAAGGTTAGGTGACGGAGCACCATGCAAGTGTTTTTATTTGTCTGAACTTTGCCTTTTGCAGTCCTTGTTTCCTAAGAAACCAGGCATATGTGGTGCTGCTTCATGTGGACAGTGAGTCTGACTCTCTTGACTTTTTCCTCTAGTAATTTTTTATTTGGCTGCTTGGTTTCAGAAAAAAAAACTTGACAGAGGGCAACTGTGTCCCTCCCAGACCAATGAAAAAGCGGACTGGGGTGCAGAGGGACACTGCCAACCTCCTCTCTGAAGGAAAGGCTGCAGCATGATCTCACCCTTATTAGTCAGCGGAGAACCAGCCCTGAGACATGTGTGCAGAGGAAACCCAGCTCCATTGTTTCCACTGTGCATGGAGCAACTACTTAGTTATTTATTTTGATATGACCTTTTAAAATAAATACACCCTTTGGGATTCCTAAGCATGTGGGGTTTTTGTTTGTTTTGTTTTTCTTTTTCTTTTAAAAAGAAAGCCTAAATGTCAAGGTAAGGTTGAAAGTTGTTTAAGGATGTAATATGCAATTTCTTCCGCTGTTCTTAGGCAATAACATATCCGTAACTCGAGTTTATGATGCTTGTTGCAGGTGCAATCTGTGCAGCACGTATATCCATCCCAGGTCCAGTATGTGGAAGGAGGAGAAGCTGTTTATACCAATGGAACCATGTAAGAGTCTCTTGTTGGCTGTAGTGAGCCCCTCTTCCCCTCCCAGCTGGGTTGAGCCCTTCGGTCCTCCCAGGCTCCTTCCACCCCAGTGCTGCTGCTGGCACTGCCCGCCGTTAAAAGGAGGAAGAGAAGGAACCGTTTCACATGCTACGTTGTGTGCGTGGGGGTAGTTTCAGCCAGGCTCCAGCCTTGGGGGAGGTGGTGTCCTCATGGAGGGACTGTTCTCCAGGGAATCCTGCTACATCAAAAGGTCCGGTATTTTCCTCTGCCCAGCCCATTGTGTGGTGAGGTGGGGTGCCTTTAGGAACCAGAGCATAACTGCTAGAGGAAGAAAGTGGTTTTGTAAGGTTTCTTCTTCCTCCTCTCTGCTGTGTCCCCCGCTTTGGGCCTGATGCCCCTGCTGCCCTCTGGGATGCTCTCAGCCTTCGGTACCGAGGTTGCCTACAATGGCTGCAGAGTGACTCCTGGGCACTGCTCTCGCTGCGGCTGTGGGCCTTTGCTCCAGGGCCGTCACAGGACTGATTAACATCGTCAGGAGTGACTTTGACAGCACAGGGTTCAATTTCAACGGAGCAAATTCCACCAGCAGTGGAGTCAAGTTTTTTTTAAAAGGTGGTCCAGATTGTGGAAACTATTGTCCATGAGATTAGCTTTGCAAGCTCCTCTCCACCCAAGGTGTGCTCCACCTCCTGACCCTATTGTTCCTTTGACAGACGAGCCGCCTACTCCTACAACACCGAAGCTCAGATTTACGCCCCCAGCAGTGCAGCATCCTATTTCGAACCGCAGGGAGGTGGAGCTCAGGTGACTACAGCGGCATCCTCTCCTACAGCCATTCCCTCTCACAACATGGTGGGCATCACCATGGACATTGGGGGAAGTCAGATCCTCTCCGGCTCGGGAGTCTATCTCATTCATGGGGGGATGGAAAACACTAGACATTCTCTGTCACATACTTCACGCTCCTCTCCAGCAACGGTATGTAGCCCTGCAGATGTTGCAGCTCGGGGGCCAGGAATTATTTCAAGGGAACTGAAAAGCCTTCAGAAAATAAAACTTCCTGTCATTATCACTGTGTATATGTCTGTATAACGTGCCATGCAAATGCAAGCGAGAGAATAGACACTGGTGTACTACAGGTATTTTTCAACAGGAGTTTGGGATGTCTCTCTTGCTGGTGGGCAGAGGCTTGTCAAACTTTCTGAGTGGATCGTTGAAATTATGCAGCATGGAGATAAGAGAAAATTCTTGGGGGTTTTGTTTTTTTTTCCCTGAGCAAAATGTTTTGGCTTTCCAATTCGAAAGAATTCTCTATATTTACATTTTCTAATAACATCTGAACACGGGGCTTGGCTTACCCAAAATAAAGAAATACATGAATATATTTTTAATTATGAAGAGACCTGAAAAATCCATTATTAACACAGTGAGTGGATAATTAGCACATAAGTATGTCAAGCTGATCATGCCAAATGCACAGTGATTGAAAAGCTGTTGTATATATCTGCTACACCATTGTGTATTCTGTCCATGCCATGTGTTACAGGAAATGTATTTTAGGGATAATACTGATCAAACAGAAATGTTTTAAAGCTCTAATTTTTTTAATCATGTCTCTCCAACTGTCAGTCAAGGTGCCAGGTTGCTAGAAGCACAGCTGTACAGCTGTGTGAGACTCAGGGGAATACAACTATTAACCCAAAACAGCCTTTCTGCAGCTAGAAGCTACCAGGGCTTTTATCTGAGAATCTTACCAGCCCTTAGTAGCAGCTGTGGCCAGGAGTGGGTTGGAGCTCTGCTCACCTTCCTTTCCAGACTGATTTACCTGTGTTTATACGTTTTTATGTAAACATAATTACAAATGTGGGTGTAATTCCGTGCATGTGGCCAGATTTTAAAATGTGAACAGCACCACCCAGGGAGAAAAACAGGAGCCATTTGCTACTGAGTACTCTTGAAAATCTGGCTGGTTAGGTTGTACTGTCTTTTTCCACAGAGCTTTAGAATACAGACTTCACATTTTTTTGAATCTTTGTGCCTTGAAAGGTTGCCCTTGATCCTGGAGTAAATGTGCTCTGTCTTAGGTAGCAGTAGCTATCTGCAGGGAAAAGTCCTTAGCTTTGGGTGGAAGAGAAAATGACAGATGCATCTGGATTAGCTGGGGTTCATTTCTTGTGTGAGAATTGTGTGTGTGTGTGTATTTTAACTGTTCATAGTTAAAAACTAGCATTGGACCATCCTCTGATTTTTGCTCAAGCTTGTTATTTTGAAGGAAGTAGCTGCTGATCTTGTCACCTGCGTGGGACTGCATCTTGCAAAGCTGCACAACATTACTCTTGGTTTTTGGTGTTTTTTTTTTTTTAATTTCCATGGTGATGGGCACAATGTAAAAAGCACGAGTAGAATATGTGTCAATAGAAATGTCCCATGAACAGATTTAGTTTGTAGCTGTCTATCACGTGGGATAAAGCTGTTCAGGAAAAAAAGAATTCAGGAAGTGACCTTTATGAAAATGCATCTGAAATAAATTCACTCTGTTGCATGTAGGAGTGAACTTTCAGAAGGTATTTTAACACAAAATGTCTGTGGCTCTTGTGGAGGGGCTCAAGAGGGTCAAATAGTGCATAGATGCTTGTCTGGAAAACAGTATAGGGATGTGTCTATGTGTGGCTTTCAGCTCTTTCAGCACAGACCAAAATTGGAGGGGGTTAGAGGGAGCCATGATAACTGGTTTCATTTCACATAATAATGGGTGAACAGATAGTGGAAGGGTTAAGGAGAGCAATGACTAAATCAAATCAACGGGTAGGAACGTTACTTTTCATTGCAGTGTCTTGCTTAAACAGAGAATGGGAAAGGCTGGCGTTAAAGAGGCCGGAGTAGTAGTCCTGTAGTCCTGGTAAAATGTATTTGGGGCAGGCTTAATAGCTTTGTGGAGAGAAAGAAAAGTACAGCTCATGCAGATGTAGACAAGGAAGCCGTAGTGTTTGCATGTGGCCTTGGGGGTGTAGTGCAAAGGGGATGGATGTCGAAGTGGCCAACAATGTGAGGGTTTGGCAACATGAGATGCAGCTGCAAGGAATGGGGAAGGTGTTGAATGCTTGAGGCAGAGCCGACACTGAGACCTTGAAAGCAAGGAGAGTATCTTCAGAGGAGACTGGGAGCGAGGTAGCGCTTCAGAATTACCAATAGTGTAAGAGCTGCCTCAGGAGGCTGAGGGATGTATGTACACTAAAATAAAATCTTCAAATATTTAAAGAAACCTGTTCTCCATATCTGCTGGAATAATGATGTTCTGCTCCATCGAATGGGCTGAAACAGCACATGAAGCAGTCCCATTCAATGTCTGTGCCAATAGAGCACTATCAATGTTCATTTAAATCTCTTCTTCCAAGAGAGGAAATCCTTGAGACCTCCCGTAAGTGGGTCCTCAGAGTTCCTCACCTTCGTGCAGGACTGTTTAAGAGCTTTTAGTCTGTAATATTTTTTTCTGCAGATGTCAGGTGTCCATTTGTGTGGGACACTTACCAGAATGCCAGAAGGACAGGCAGTGTTTCTGTGCTTGCCTAAGAGGTGTTGCTCAACTGGTGCTGCGCTGCTCCTTGAACAGAGGAAGGAAATGGTGTCTCCCTCTAACACTGACTCATTTCCTGAAGGCTGCATCAGCAATTAGTCTTTGGTTCCTCATGGTGCATCACGGTGTGCTAGACAGTTTTCTCAAAAAACACTGACACTGACATAGTCTTAGACTGACCCTTTTTTTTTTAATTCAGTGATAACTTCTTGAGAAGTGCCGCAGTGATGGCACTTTTGGATGGTAACCAAGGGGCGTGTGCTGGAGGTGCTTGGACAGAGTATCGCGTTCAGACATGGATCTGGCACGGACTGTGTCTTTGATTGTTGAATGTTACTTCAGAAGTTAGATCTGATTTGTTCTGTTCTCTCACCTTTCTAACAGAGCTGGGTTTTGTAAATGGCTGGTTTTATCTCGACCTTTATCTTCGCCATGCTATGAGTCAGTGCAAACTGGAGTACAGGGAGCTAACTAGTATGTGAAGGAGGCCATTGACAGATCATTGTGCAGATTGGGATGCTTTGTGCATGTGCCTACAGATGAGTGCACGACCATGCATGTTAAATGAGGACAGATGCTAGAGATAGCTGCTGACTGCAAGTTTTACTGGCTGATGTGTGCTGCCTTGTCCTGCCTGCGCTGACAGGTCACAGATAACAGGGTTTTGAGAACCTCTACTGGAAAGAAACAGCAGGTTCTGCTCCTGCCAGTCCCTTAATGTGGCGGGTTTTTTTGTTTGGGGCTTTTTTTTTTCCTTCCTCACTTGCAAAAATCTTGTGCTCAGGAGCACTAGGGCTCTGGGACCAGCAGCCGTCTGCTGAGTAGTTTGCCAGAGATTGCCAAGGGAGCCCCAGGAGCAGAAAGGAGACTACAAGAAGGGTTCAGGAGAGGGTCCGGGCACAAAGCAGCAGCCATAGCTGGGCTGAGTGTAGAACAGAAGCTAGAAAGAGGGAAGCAAGGGGGCTCTTCAGGGGCCAGAATGCCTCACCATGACTCCGCTTGCAGAAGCTCTGAGATCAATGGAAATGAGCACAGGTAGCATCAAGGTATGCCAGCCTGTCTGTGTGGGAAGAAGCTCACTTAACTGAAACCTGTCTTCTTCCTTCAGAGTCCTTTTGCAGTTCTCTTCAGTAGCGAAGAGCTCTTATCCGTTCCGGCTTATGCATTCTGTGTGTCAACCCGCCTTGTGCCCCTGTTTTATTTAGTTGCCATTAGTTTTTTGTCAAAATGTCAAGAAGTAATTATAACCAAAGTAATTACTTCCAGTTTGCCTTGAAAGATCTGGGTAAAATGCACCTTCTCTGTAGCAAATCTCCTTTGACCTGCTGCAGTGTATCTGTCTGGTGGTGTTTTGGTCTAGGCGTGAGGGGGAAAGGAGAAGGAAAACTGCTTCTCTTTTATAAATGGGCAATGCATCTAGTGGAAGATCAAAAGCCCCCTGGTCTCGCTCTTTCACCCTAATAGGGATTCTTGCTGTGTTGTTAGTTTGCATGCCATACAATAACGTCTGCAGCTTCATCCCATAAGGACTGTGCCTCATCTGTTTGCCTCTTTTTCACAAGCCTGTTGATATAAAGCTTTAATCATTCAAATATTAATAAAGAAATAATAATCCTGGCTGTTGCTATCTATCTGATTTCCTTTCTTTTTCTTTTTTCCTTTTTTTTTTTTTCCCTGTGCACATTTTCTAGAGCTTGAAATGGCGATTGAAAACCTACAAAAAAATGAAGGGATTACATCACACAAAAGCAGTTTGCTCAACAGCCATGTAAGTTACAATCGGAATTTACAACCTTTTTCCTGCTTTGGTAGGAGCATTATTTGCAGCCCTTTGGTGTATTCAACAGCAGGAGCCACTCAAAGCAGCCTGTGATTCAGCTGTGCTGCCCAAAGCAGCCCATTCCCAAGAAACAAGAATCTGCAAGAAATGCCATGATGTTAATGTTTGTTTATTAGATGCTCTGGATTCTGTTAACTGCCTCTACCCTGTGTTTTTTTATTTCATCTGCCTTGCAATGGAAATTGCTGGCAATTAGATAAACACACTTGAGGAAGTTCTTTCCTTTCACTGGAATTGAAAGATGGCTGGAAAATAACTTGCAATTCTACAGTAATAACTTGGCGTGAATCATGACAGATATCCCTTAGATAGTGTGTACCAAAAGCCTACTCCTGTGAATGCCTTTATTGCCTCTTTCTGTGCCTCAGGAAGACCATCACTGTTACAATGCTATGCTAAATCCATTTGCTCGACCTCTCTCTTCTCACTATGCCAACAATTTCCCTGCTTTGTGTGAAGTTCCTGCTATTCTACTGGGCCTTCTGCATCATGGTTTATGGCTCCCATGCAGTAATGCTTAACGGTGAGCACATGCTTGCGTGAGATTTGAAGGGTCTAATTCAAGTCCTGTTGAAGTCATTGGACTTGCCTTGACTTCATTGTGTTTTGGATTAGGCTGAAGCATGTTCTGCACTGATAAATCACAGTGCACAAAGTGGCACTTCTTTATTCTAACAGATTTCCTTTTGCTTTGTGTTTGGGGGAAGATCTGTTGTCATTCTTAGGTCCTGCAAAAAAAATCTTTGCCCTCTTCACCCGAGAGAAATAGCCTGAGAAAATCAAAGGAATATTAAACCTAAGTCTCATTCTCTTAAGCTGATGTCGAACTCCAAGCCAGGGCTCCTGGATGAACTCGATCCTTATTTCAGCTTCTAGAAATCGAAGGTTCCTTGTTGTAGCTGGGGAAACACAAACCTGCAGAATCAGGCTTGGTAGTTGCTGTTCTGAGCATCTCTGTGCATCCTTCCTGTCGTGGGCCGTGCTCACACGCCCATGCTGTGCCCCGAGTGCCGCGCAGATTTGTCTAAGGATAAGGTTGCTCTGCAGAATTTTTCTTGTTTGTCCCAGCACAGAAGGGGACAGAGCAGAGCAGGACAGGGTGGGTCGTGGTGTGGTATTGAAGGAGATTTGAAAAAAAGCAGGAAAAGGGCAGAGGAAAGAAAGCAAAGATAGAAAAGAGATTTCATCTGACCGCAGGCTGTGCAGGATGGAGCTGAGCCCGATCCAGCCTCTGATCAGATCTTCCCCACACTTGTTTTGCAGAGTAGAAGTAAAGAACATAATGTCTCTCTTCTCAGGTCATGGTTCATAGTTTGGCATAAGGCTTAAGTTCTCTTACAAATTCTAAAGCAAATAAACTACTTCCTGAGCATATGTGTACACATCAGAGAATGTCAGTCCAGACACGAGCGACGTGCTGCCCTGGGCAGCTCCAGGGCTGGGGTGGGTAATTCCCTCTGCCAAGGCACAGAGCCTGAGCCAAGGAAACCTGCGGGACCTTTGCTGCCCCGTGCACCTCCAGTGTCCTTGCTCTGCCTTCCTGGAGCACGGAGCGATGTCTGCAGACATATGGGAATGACGAGGAGGCGATGATACGAGTAGTGCCTGTAGGAAATGCAGCACGTTGCAGAACTGGGTCAGGCAGTTTCTTTCCAGAGCTGGAGGAAGGTCGGTGCCATTGCCCAGGAAGGTTGTGCAGCCTCTGTCCGGGGAGGTTTTCAGGACTTGACTGAACGAGCCATTTAACTGGACTGAGGGACCTGACTGCCCTTGGAAGTGAGCCCTGCTTTGAGTAGGAAGTTGGACTGGAATCATAGAATCATCATAGAACGGTTTGGGTTGGAAGGGACCTCTAAAGGTCATCTAGTCCAACCCCCTGCCATGGGCAGGGACATCTTCAACCAGATCAGGTTGCTCAGAGCCCCGTCCAACCTGACCTGGAATGTTTCCAGGGATGGGGCATCCACCACCTGGAGACTGGAGACTGCCAGAGGTTGCTCCCAACCGTAATGTGTGGGACAGCCCGATGAATGTGCAGCGCTGAACCTCTCTGCACGTGTTCCCTGGCACGTGCCGTGTTACAAGGGTTTCTGCTATCTGGGATGTTGCAGTTCCCACCTCTTTTTGTTAAAAAAAAAACAAACAAAAAACCAGACGGAGGATTACCTGTCCCAAGTGCTTCTGTGACTGACACACGATATTGTCAGGCTTGCACATGAGAACCAGAAAGTGAAGCAGCAGGTGACTGTGATTTGTCAAGGCTGAAAGCAAAATACGAGCTTGACAAAAGCTAATAGCTGAGGAAATTGTTATATAATGCTAATTGCACTATCAGTTGTGTCTTAATTGCTTAAGGTTGCAGAGTTTTTCATTAAGTGTTCTGTTCCTCATTTTAAATTTCATATTTTGGAAATCTGTAAATTCTTGGGATAATGGTTTATTTTGTTTGCCGTCAGCAGATGTTTCATGCCAGGAATCTTTGTTTTGGTTTTTTGGTTTTTGTTTTTGTTTTTTAAAAGGAAAACTAAAGGTATCTCAGTCAAGAGGGAATTTTTTACATAATGCTGTTTAAACAAAGTCAATGGGAAACGGAACCACACTTGATAACTTAATTTAGCTTCAAGAACTCTCTGAGAGGTTATTTAAGTGCACTTGGAATATCAGATTTGGAAGCCTAAGCTAATGTTAATACCCCAGTGACACATGATGTTTCTAGTGAAATCATGTCAATCTATTACTGTTAATGAAAAAGCTCTGCTCACAAGTGTTCTCCAGAGTCGCTGGGTCAGAGGATTACTTCTTTGCCAATTATGAGCTTGCAGATGATGCAAAGAAATTTGAGAAAAATGACTACAATTTTTGTACATGAGTGCCTGAAGCTAGGCATATAAGGAAGGAGTTGCCATAGCATACCTGCCTGAGGCCCTGCGGCTCCTAGATATCCGTAGCACTCATAGGAGCAGGGGGAAAATGTATATTTTCCTCACTGCCTGTAAAACAAAACCCCCCCAAAACCCAAAATAAACCTCTAAAAAACCACTGGACTTCTTCCCTGTGGGTGAGTGGCTCTTAGGTAGGTGCTGATGGAGTTTTTCCCCTGAGGAAAAGATCTTACCCCCAAATGGTGTTTAGGTGGGAACACCTAAAATGAGACTGAACAGAGAAGTAGGAAAACTGTTAAAAGGAATAATTCTCCCTTGGCCGGGGGAGGAATGTAATGACCTAATGAACGATGAATCTCCTGCTCGGTGGAGAAAGGCGGGTGATGCTGGAGCTTGTGCTCACGTGCACGGATGGCTCGGGGCTTAATTATGCAAGGGACCAGAGCTGACAGGCACTTGTTCTGGAAAAGAGACTTTTCAAGAAAATATATAGGTTTTGATGAAACTTTAATTGCAAAAGATCGGTGGGGTTGAGCAGGGAACTCCTGGTGCGAGGGAAGCGTTTCTCCCCGTCGCTGAGCTCGGGATGCTCAGCAAGCACGTGGGTGGTCCAGGGTCCGTCCTAACTCTGAGCTGGACTGAGCGGGGACTTAGGAACCTGCTCCTCTTAGTCTCAGATAAAACCACCTGAAATATGAACCACAAATATGTGTCTTCATTGGTTTCTTTTTCAAAGAAGTGCCCGTAAGAAAACCTCTCCAAACCTGGACCTTCAGAAAAAAAAGGTTTTTTCTTTTCTCAGACAGCCTCACGTATCGCTTTTTCCATCCTTGAGCCATCCTTGAATCGAACAAGGACGAGGTTTTTGCAAAAGGTTGTTTTTTTTAAAGTCAAAACAAACAGTCAATAGAAATAAAGTTAAAGTAGAAATGAAATTGAAATGTTCCCCTGTAGTGCCTGTAACAAACAAAGCATAGTGATTTTATTGGAACCTGATCATAGTATAAACAGAAATGAAGCCGTAGAATATCTTGTCATTGTCACAACTGAGCAGAATTCAAAAAGTAAACAGAATAAGGGATACAAATGGAAAGAATCTTTCATGTTCCCATTTTAAGTGCCCGGTCTGTTATTACTAATGCAGGAAGAGCAAAAATCATGTTTTGAAAATTATTTATGTTCTGACAGATTTCTTTTTTAAGCTCTTTTGTGGGTTTCGTAATAGATTTCTAATTCAGTAGTGGGAGTTCGTATTGTGAAACTCTATAACGTTTAAAGGAATATAAAAAGACACTTGCAGAAGAAGAAAGCTGGAAGATGAAGGGAATATTCTAGAAATATCTGGGATTAGCCTAAAAATGCCCGGGATCAAATTTAAATGGGAGGGTTTTACCTATATCTGAATTATCCATTGTAACATGCAACTTTTTTTTTTTTTTTAAGGCTTGGAATTAGAACAGGTTTAGAAAATAAATAGCTGATCCACATTCAGTATCTTCCATAGGATAAATAAAATAACTGGTTAAAAAAAGAAGAGAACCTTCTTATTCGTTAATCTTTTAAATACAGAGGATGGGCCAAAATTAGCACAGATGTGGACTACTTAAAAACTGAGCTCCTGCTGGTCTTTTATGTCAAAAACACTGGGGTCCACTTTTGTTAGAGATAGCTTAATGGGTGGGGGAGGCTCAGGGCTACAGAGCGGCTTTTTGGGGCTTCCCAGGGATGTCTCTTCTGCAGATGAGAGCACGAAGAGATGCAGACCACTAGCAAACACCACCTCTGAGGACTGTAGGGTTTGGAGGTCAGAAAGATCTTAATCTGTGGAAGAACACATCAAAGAGTGTCTTAGGTGATGTGTAACTGGAGGAAGGTGGGAAGGTGACAAGGAGCTCTGTGAAAAGCAGGACAGAGGGGAAAATGGACAAGAGCCTTTTCTTCTTCCAGCTGTGGCAGCTACTGCTCTGCTCCAAAGGCCACCGAAACCGATGGATCCAGTCGTTTGAACTTGTGGTTGCTTTGGATCAAACCCAACTAATGAATGAAATAGTTTTAACTGTACAGCTTTGGATTCAGCTCATTTTACGTAGCAGAAGTTTAAATTTGGATATGTGAGTGATTACCACAGAACATACATTCATAGGTGCTGAAAAGCCTTTGTGTGAGAGCAAAGTGGGATATGAAATGCATAAACTGAAAATAACTCAATGGAGTGAGGTGTCAGAGATGTCATTGCACATTTCAGGTTGTATTTTCATCGAGCAATTGATATAAAACTCGAGTACAGTGGTGAACTGGGACCCCAAAGTTTCACCAGGAGAAAATGGTAGAAAAGAGCCAGATAGTGGAGCACGAGTGGAGAGGACCTAAGCATAGGCCAGCTTCGACATCCGTGTGCATGGTTAAATCCCACTGATTTCTAGACTAAGTTTGTGCTTAATTACAATATGTGCTTGAACTCTTTGTTGTAAGGAGATGACGTGGCTAATATTTTGGCATCCATAATCTGTTTTGCCACTGATCTGGTGTGAACGCAGCTGCTTCTGGTGGAGCTGTGCCTCCTATGCGTGCAGGGATGGAGGTCTGGATGGAGAGGGAAGTCTTGAAAATGTCAATCCCAAATGTCCCTAACGACAGTGAAAGCACTTTTGCCGAAGCTATTGATTTTAGTCCATTTGTACATCTAGTTCCTTCAAAAATTCACTTAATATAACACTTATTTTCTTGATGCTGAAGTCATTTAGCCAATTAAAGGAGATTGGGGGGTTTGTCTTTTTGCATTTTAATTCCTGTGCTGACACTGTGTGCCAGGCCTGCCCTTTCAGTCTGGCTGGGTATAAATAATTTATATCTAATTGCAAACTTTAATCAACAGAAATGTCAGAAGAAGTTCAGACAGTAAATTTTGAAAAATAGATGGAACCTCTCAGATTTTTAAGGTTGCTTTGGTAACCATTAATTGTATTGTTAAGTGAACAATTGCAGACATGCCAATCTTCAAATTAATAAAGACTTTGCAGCATATTTCATTCCCCTAAAATTTATTCCTCTTAGGCAGTATCTTAACATCTTTATTCTTGGAAAACATGAGTTCTTACAGGTTTATTTTGGCTCTGCAGGAATTAATCCGAATCCAAGGTGGACGCTGAGATGGCAGGCGGACTATATTTTAATGCTCTTGCAAAATCTGACAGCATTTTTGTTGGGTTATTAGCTTTGGGCTAACGGTCCTTTAACTTTTATAAAAATACAACCGGCATAAGTGATATAAATTAACTTATATAAATTAACTACCAAGCATTAAGTTCTCTTGAACTCTTAATGTCAGATGGGCTCTCCTGACATTTAAGCGTTGACATTGTTTTACGCAGCCCGTTCCAGCCCTCTTTAGACTTTCATGTGTTCTCTATTTATTTATGTTTTGCATACATAAAGCTCCAGTGGTTGTTGGACAACTACGAGACGGCGGAAGGCGTCAGCCTTCCCAGGAGCTCTCTCTACAACCATTACCTGCGGCACTGCCAGGAGCACAAACTGGATCCAGTGAACGCCGCTTCCTTCGGAAAACTGATCCGGTCGGTGTTCATGGGGCTGAGGACTCGCCGCCTGGGAACCAGGTTGGTACGAATCTGCATTCAAAATAAAAAAAAAAAAAAGCTCCTACAACTTCTCTCACACGTACCGAGCATTATTTAGCAGGCAAGGTCTTTCTTCCGAGATCTACAGAAACAACCAACCGTGATCTTGTGGGGAAAAAAAATTGCTATTCTCAGGCACAGAAGTAATTTCTGTGTGTTGTGAGGCAAAGCTGCTTTCTCACCGTGCATCAGCGGTGTGAGAGGCTTGACAATACAGTTAATTTCAGACACACTCCAGGTCTCTGGTGACAGTGCCTTGTCCAGCCACACAGTGGAATTTGGTCTAAGTCCATTTCCTAAGGAGTCTTAAGAATATTTTATTTGAACCTAGCCGCCTTCTCATTCCATTAGTGTCTCAAAAAGATGAAGTAACTCGTCTTCACAATTGCTGCTGTCAGCTGCAGAGCCCAAAATTCTGATGCATTGAAACGGTTTCTCCCTTTGGGTCCAGTGAAGTTCCTCCATCACGGATGAGAACAGAACCTGTGCCCACATCTTTGATGCAGACAAGCTGTACAGATGTAAATGGCGTATTTCTTAAATTCTCAAAGCGGCAGGCTGAATTTTGTGACATACTTTCTTTTAAAACATCAAAGATCCATATGATGTTACAACAAAAGCGTAACATAAGAAAGTATACTTGCTGTAATTACATATGTGTCCTTCAAGGGAACATCCAAAGTATATGCACAGCTTGCACAGCTGAGTTTGCATTTTATCTCAGCTTCTAATTTCAAAGAAGTAGCTAATACACTAGAGAAACAATGATTGCTCTGATTGTGTAAGATTTTATAATAATATATAATAAAATTCAAGCTTAGATATTTGGGCTTCGAAACAAGAACAAAACCAGATGTGTCCGGGGCATTCCACAGCTGGAACGTGGAGGCAACAGTCATAGGAAGAGCAGGGGAGAGTTTGGATTTCTGTACATTGGTTCAAGTGCAAGAGCTCTGAAATAATTTCTTTAGAGGAGAGAAATTCATTAATCCTATCAAGGATTAAAGAAAAAGCAAATAAGCAAAAAATCTGCTTAAAATTGCAAATGTGCAGGCTGGGAAGGATACAGTAAACCTCAATAAATATGGAAATAGCTGTCTACCATTATTTTCTTATTCATTCATTCATTTAGATTATAAATGCAGCTGCTATTTAACTTGCGGGCACTTAAAATCACTTAAGACATGGCCGAAGCGTACTTCATACCTGAGCACTCAGTGTGTGTAAAACCCTTTGGTACAGCGACAAAGACTGAACGATTCAACCGTCCCCTTGAAAAGAGAAAATTCCTCCAACAAGGAAGAAAGGGTCAATTCTCTTTGACAAATATCCCTCGCTTAAATTTCTCTATGTAATTTTCCAATGGGAAGCATCATTGGCTTTAAGGTGCCTCCAGACCCTGTCATACTGACACAGCAAATGAATTTTAAGCATCCCCAGTAGGAGGGCTCTGGAGACCCCACTGCTGCTCCCCGGCTCGGTCTCCTCTCCCACTGAGGACTCAGCTCCACTGTTGTTTGCGACAAATTGGCTAAAGCTAAGTTGGACATACTGTCGTCATGTATCCATGGCTGCATAATTGCCCTTCTTGCTCCCAAAAGCAGACGCTTGGGGATTGAAAAATTCCAGTTTGGTGGAAAAACTTTAACTGACACGTCTGTCTAATGTGACAGAAAGACATTCGCCCAAGGAGCATCACAGCAGCTTTACTGACCAGCAAAGGAAAAAGAATTACAGCCTCTTTTGCTTGCAAAAAGCTTTCAGTTTTTACAAAACTACAAAAATAAGCAACTCCGAGAAAAAAGGCACATCAAAGCCTGCTGCCATTGCTGTGAAAGTGCTGGCAACAGAAAGACATTTTTCTTATCATAGTTGACTATTCAGTCAGGCTTGTTTTATCCAAGTCTAGATAAAGATGGAAGTTTGTTTTTATGGAAAAAACAAATCCTTAAACCCTAATCAAATAGCAAAGTGTCCCCTGAGGTCTTTCTGTCATTCTGTTTAATAACACTTTGTATTGTAACACTTGTCTCTTCTTCTCCAGTTACCATGGGTTACTTGGAAAAAACCTTGCTGGCTTTTAAATGTGGATGTCACTGAACTTTGTGACATGTGGTTTTAAATTTTATAGGGGATGATGGCATTCGTTAGTTCAGCCATTCAAATAGCGCTTGGCAGCAAACTGACGTGTGCTGTAAGAAGTAGGCTGTATTGTCAAAACAAGCCTAAGAGTAAACTGCAGGGCTACGATGTCCCTTCCATTGACTAGCTTACACTGAGCAATTTCAATGCTGATACTTCCAGGGGAAACTCCAAATATCATTATTACGGGATCCGTCTAAAACCAGAGTCTCCGCTGAACCGTTTGCAGGAGGACACCCAGTACATGGCAATGAGGCAGCAGCCCATCCACCAGAAGCAAAGGTAGGTGCTCCCAGCATCTTGGAGCTCGATAGCGGTGCCCCAGAAGGGTCCTTTCCCAAAGAACGCGGCAGACCCCATCTTGGGACTTGGCAAAGGGAGCGTTTTGGGACAGTTCAAACCCAAGAGTTGCTGAAGTGCCAGAGCTAAGCTGTGGAAGAGGGGGCTGCAAAGTCACTGGCCACTCTGAGTGGTGGAAGGGTCCAAAAACACTTCTGGTAGATGCCCCATCCCTGGAAACATTCCAGGTCAGGTTGGACGGGGCTCTCAGCAACCTGATCTAGTTGAAGATGTCCCTGCCCACGGCAGGGGGGTTGGATGAGATGACCTTTAAAGGTCCCTTCCAACCCAAACTATTCTATGATTCTGTGATTCTGTGAAATGGCATTTATCTGCCTATTCTGTTTGCCAGCGGCTTGATTCAGCCCGCTGCTATGGAGAATGCCACCGTATGTGCCGCTTTTCACTGCCTCCCTCTGACCGAACTGCTTTAGGACCTCAGCTATGGAGTTATTTGTGCCAGATCAGTGCAAAGGACTTGGGGGGCTTGTGTTGTGCTTGAGTTGGTTTTGGTTTTTGTTTGTTTGTGGGTTTTTTGTGCAACAGTGAAAGTTAAATAGTGCTGTGTCTAGTCTTGTGTCTGAGTAATTTTGAATATAAAATACAATGTGCAAAGGAATTTGGAATTGTCTTCTGGAAGCACGGACGCTTCTGGTTCTTGCTGGAGTGAAAAAGGAGCAGAAGAATTTTTCTTCAGCTTCCAAACAGAAAGTAAATGCAAAAGTCGGCTCCCGAAACAGAGTCTGCACTCTGTCACCCACTCCAGCTCTGCTTCTCATTTTCTTTCTTTATGTCACCTTGGGCAAACTTCTTAACCCCTTTAATTCTGTCTTGGGGAGTGCTTTTCAAAAGGAAGTTCCCATTTTCCCCCTCCACTTGAGTAGGTGATATAAATGGTCAGCCCTCAAAATGCTGGCCTTCCATGTAACCTCATGTATTACATATAACGCAAAAGTCTGCATGACTGAGTTGCAAATAATGTATATGTGTTTGCTCGTGCCTGTGTAAATCCCAAGCCACGCTCTAAATTTAGGTATAGGCCAGCGCAGAAGATGGATGGCATGGCAGAGAGTGGGTCCAATAGTAACCCGCATACTACGCCGGAGCAATCGGTTGCTGCTCAAAGTCAACATCATCAGCAATTCATAGGTGAGGAGACTGCTTTAATGTGTTAGATATCTCACGTCTAGGCTTAAGAGGAAGGAAGGTCTTGTCCAGCAAGCCCCATCTGTTCTGAATTTGTTTGCTTTTCTAATAAATCTACAGTATTATATATTATACGTACTATATATATTTTATATATAGCATATATTCTGATAAGCTCTGGTATTGTCACACTTGCTAAGTTTACTTGCTAACTCCCATACCCACAGGAAGGCTTTTTCCTTGTACCGTCAGGTCTGTCGCTTCCCTCTGAGTATGTTTTTAATCCGTCTGGTTTTATCCAAATTGGCTGGAAGGAGTGGAGGTCCTGAAGAGCCTTGCTAAGGCAGGCAGCCGGAGGGAGAAGAACGATTCTCTTCATTACAAAGGCTGCAATATGTATCCGATGCAGACGATCCATAAGGACCTTCTCCTTGGGAGACAAGCTCTCTGGCTTTGCTGGTCGTGGATCTACGTGTCTCCATCATCTCCAATAGAGATACCAAATCGTGGCCAGCTCTGAGCCTTTTCTGAAATACAATTGCTCCTGATACGTCTGCTGTCCAATTATCTTTTCCATTGTACTCTTCAAAATACCAGAGAGACGTTTTTCAGGCTTCGGAGAAAATCTAATGGGAAGCGCAGTAGATGAGGACAATGTATTCTTGTTTCTTTTATTACAGAGAGAAAGAAAACATTTTCCTTTCCACACTGAATAAAATGGGCTGCGGTTGTTCGCTTTTTGCCCAGTATAGCAGCATGAATTGGGAAAGTACTAGATTATTGGTCTCATTTCTCCTGTTTCACCCCAAATTGAAACATGAAAGATAGCCGCCAGCGACAGCAGCACCTTGCACTCATCTGTAGTCCTGCGTAACCGAGTGCTTCTAACTCTCACCGTCTTTCCCAATCTTTTTTTCCCCTAGATGTAACCCATGTCTTTCCCGAGTTCCCAGCCCCTGATCTAGGTAACGTCCTCTTACAAGAAGGGGTCACCATGAATGATGTGAAAACTCTGCAGCTTCTTTACAGGCGACACTGCGAGGTGATTATTTGGAATATTTTTAATTGATTTATTAATTTATGTGGGACATAATTCATGTGCTCATCTCATATCCTGCTCTAAGGAAAAGCTAGAATATAATAGAGAATGCTTGATTTGCTAGGTATTACAACTCAGATATTGCACTTTATGTTATTTTTTCATTGTGTGACCTGTTTTATGTTTATGGTGATTATTAAAACAATGCCCTTTCCGTTATTTTTCTTGTAAATTATTTAATCCGAATGGCAGCACATGAAACTTATGCTTACGCTGTGTGACAAGATGCTAGCAGAGCAGCTAATGACGTGTGTTCTTTGTTGTTAGGCGACTTTGGATGTTGTAATGAATCTTCAGTTTCATTATATTGAGAAACTGTGGCAATCCTTCTGGAGTCCTAAAACACCATCTAGTGATGGCTCCACTGCCCTGCCGTCCAGGTACACTGCTGTGCTTTGATGATTTCTGAATGCTCCATTTTGTGGTGGTATTTTATCTTTTGAAAAATGCGTGAAGTATTTTCAGCTTCCTGAGGCATTTTGAGTGCTTTGTAGGACTTGAAAGTATTTGCTTCCCTGCAGAATCATTACAAAGAGTTTCAGAAGTGTTTAGTATCATAATGACCGCACAAAGTTCAGACCTCTGAGGAAAGCATCTGCTCTGATTGTGTACATCTATGTGCCTTGTACCTCCTGTAACACGTGCTAATCCGAAACGCAGAGAGCGTTTGGATGGATGAGAATGGGATGATGCTTTCGTGAATGGTCAGCAAGAGCAGACAGTAACGATTCCGTGCTGATAGGTATCAGTCTTGAGTGACATCTCGGGCTCTGAGGTTTTAGCGACATCTAGACTGACTCGCTTCTTTGGATGGCTGTCCAAATCTTTAAGTGCCTCGTGTTTTGAGGCAGATAATGGCAAATGAAGCTGCTCTGATCTTTGCACTCCTGGCTGGCTCGTTGTTATTGCCTTTTCTTCATCCTTTATGCGTTGGTAGTCTGCTGCCAAGAGACAGGGGAATGGAAATAAGTGAAAATAGAGAAAATTGAAAAGGTGAAGGTTTCTTGTTAAAATTCGTATTAAAAGTCTGTACTGTCCACTTCTACAGATTATTTAAGGACTTCCAATACCGACATTTTATATTCAGAAGAAAAATGGTAAAAGTTTGAGTAACAAGCAAATACCCCATAATAATCTGTAGAATATGGCCCTGTTGTCTTCAGCAGATGTTACCCAATGGATGTTTTCCCACAAAGAATCACTGTAGCTTTGTTTGATTGTTTCAAAATCTCTTTTACTTAAGGGTATACCTCCAAGGCATATTGCAACACCACAGAGAGAGCTGTGCTAGGTACAAATAGGCTGGCTGGATACTGGAGGCAGCATTTCTGCTGGACTCTGTCTAAACTAGCGTATCTTGCTAAGGCTGTGTGCTCTGGTACCCCTCCATACCACTGCTAATAATCAAGATAGGTAAATAAAGCACTCCCTCCCCCGATTTATATATATGTACAAATATAAAACCAAAATATTATCGAAGTGGCAAACTGTTTGAAAGGGTGATAAAATGCAGAGTATGGTTCCACTGAACAGAACGTTTAGGTACTTGATGGCCAGTTTCTCCATGTGAGTGTTCTAGGAGTATGCCTGTGGAGTTCATTTACAAAAACCGCTCAGGCAGAGGCTCTAAGTACCTCTTTATAGTATGTCCAAGGCTTGGCTTTAATGGTTTTGATGTAATGTGTGGGGAAAGTCCCTTGCAAATTCCCAATTCCCAGCATAGTGTCTTAGCAGCTCTGCTTTGGTGCTCTGGCAGTGCATTAAGGCTTTGGTTTTCTCTGCTTGCTGTGTAACTAAATAGCTTATGCCTTAATCATGCAGAAAAAGTTTCCATACATCTATAAAGTGAAGATAATGCAAGCTTGATTGACCTCATTCAGTTAGAGACAATATGCTCTGTTCTCATCAGAACACCAAATCTTTTTCCTTCTGAAAACACTCAGCATTTGAAGGTGTTGAACACCTTGAAACCATTTGTAGGATCTGTCAATACCGGCTAATCTGCTCAAAAAACATTCGCTGCAAACATTTTGTCCCCACTGCTACAGCTGAGGAGGTTTAGAGCAGAGGAGAGAGGTGTGAAGGTTTTGGAAATAGCTGGGTCTGTAAGGAGGCACCAGCTAAGCCTTTGCTTGCTGAAATGGCTCTGCTGAAGTGTACAATTCCCACGTACACGTGAACATGAGAGTGTGAAAGGCAACTGAGGCTAAAGACGGAAGAAGCGAAGGCCAAGCACCGGGAGATACAGATTTGAGGGAAAACTGTGGTCAGAGCTCTGACCCCATGGACGCTTGCAGAGTCAGCAGAGACTTGTACAAACGATCAAACATTTCCTTTTGAAAGAAACATGAATTGAAAGAAAAAAACCCATTTTCTGCTGAAAACTGGGGTTAAAAATGGAGAGGCAGGGTGAATGCACTGAATGCAAACCTGCTGCTAACACTGCCTCCCTCCTCCTCCTCCCACAGCGATGAAGAACACGAAGGGACCCTCCCAAAAGATAAGCTGATCACTCTGTGCAAATATGAACCCATCCTCAAATGGATGAGAAGCTGCGATCACATCTTGTACCAGGCCCTGGTGGAGATTCTCGTCCCAGACGTGCTCAGACCGGTGCCCAGTGAGTATCCCGTGGCGTGGCTGGGAGGACACAGGTGGTCCCGACTCCTGCTCAGCTCCTGCTTCTCGCTGGGCTGAGTCGCGGGATGACAAACAGCGACCCATGACTCACTCGGTCTGGCTACCACTTGCCACAAAGATTTCCATTGTAAAAGCTGATTCAGAGGTTTTTGTTTTGAATACAAGCCAAAATACTATGGCAACAGCAATATTTCTCCTGCAGCATTGCTCTGCATCGACAGTACTTTGTGGCCCCTGGAAATTCCCATGCTTTTTAAAATTTGGTTTACTGCATGTCACATCCCTGACTTTGGCTAGGAGTCAAGGTAAAAGCATAAGCTTAATGCACGAGTAAGCACGGCTAATCCTTGTGAGATGTTTCCTTGGAGATCGCATCTTTGTTTATGTAGGACCATCCTATTCCCTACTGCACCTCCTGGAAATTTGGGGTCAACTTTCATTTGGGAGATTAGCGATGGGGTATCGAGGGTTTTCTCTCTGATTTGGCTCCTCAATGAAGTGCATGCATCAGTCTCCCCGAGGCCTCAACTCAGCCATAGACTGGGCTGAGCCATACTGGAAAGCCGTGTCCCTCTGAGCTGCTGTTGTCAGTCTACATGCTGGGGCACATGTGTGTCTTTAAAGAGCGTATTTCAACATTTGGAAAATGCTCAGAAGGACTATGAATAAGAAAACGATAAGAAAGAATAAGAAAATAAGAATAAGAATAAGAAAAGTTTGAGTGTGTGCATTAGAGAATAAGTAAAGTTTGAGTGCATCTCAGGACCCAGCTGATTTCCTTGGTGCTAAATCAAGATCACAGCTAACCAGATCAGAGGCTCTGCTTTCCACAGCAGTCCTCAGCTAGAAAGTGGTGTCCAAAGATGATATGGAGCAGCATTTCTAACTCTGCAGACTTCTTTGCAGGCACACTTACACAGGCGATCCGTAATTTTGCCAAGAGTTTGGAAGGGTGGCTGATGAACGCAATGAGTGAATTTCCCCCCCTGATTGTCCAGACCAAGGTAAGCAGAGGGAACACGGTGCAGGTCAAGGGTATGAACTGAGTGTGTGTGTGTGTGTGTGTGTGTGCGTGTTGCAGTTTTCCACAGTGATGGAGGCTCACTGCTGGAATTTGGCCACGTGTGCTCCAGACTAGCACGATGTAATCAGTAGTTATGAACCAAAATCAGCAAGGAGTGGGAGGACAGGTAGGGCAATTCCTTTGTACCAGAAGCTGATGGTGCTCTGTCCATTGAGCCATTCCCATGTCCTGAAATTGCAGATAAAGCTTTGTGGAAGAAAGTCTTTGCACTGGAATGAGGCTGTCCTACTAGAAAACACAGGACACCTCATGGACTGAATGGCATTGCAGAGACTGAACCTGAGGCTCCTACTCCCCTTCTCCTAAAGCCACGGATTCTTGTAGCCTGTTCTCACCTTGCTGGTCTCTGCTGGAGGCAGAGTGTGAAAACCTGTTAATTTAAAGAAAAGAAATGCCGAGGCTGGTTTGGAAGATGCAATAGATGCTGCAAAAGTGCTGCTCTGGAGCGCTCGTGTATGCTTTGGACAGCAGCATGGGTGGGACTGTGCAGGTTACCCCAGCTGATGTGTGCTGTGCGCTTGAGCTCAGCACTGGGAAGCGTTTGCCTTCCGGCCCCGTGGCCTCCTGCTCGCGGTGCCCTGCGTGCTGTGTTGCAGGTCGGGGTAGTGAGTGCCTTTGCGCAGACGTTACGGAGATACACGTCCCTGAACCACCTGGCTCAGGCTGCCCGTGCGGTGCTGCAGAACACTTCCCAGATAAACCAGATGCTCAGCGATCTCAATCGGGTCGACTTCGCCAATGTGCAGGTAACTTACGGTATCTTTTCCTAGGTTGTCTAGAACTGGGACTCTATAATGAGGTTGTCTGCTGGTAACCAGCATCTTATTTCCAATACTAAGAAGCAATCAAATGAACAATTTAACGGGTTTGGTGTTACTTTTCCAGGTAAGTCTGCCATCTCACTGTGAATAGTGGAGAAGGTACTAAGGAACTTCTGTAAGAAGCAGTGCTACCAACAATAGTATAGTTCTAATAATAATATTGTACTGTGGTCTGGACGGATAGGAGGAGACATGATTCAGAGCTGGTTTGGAGTCCTTGTCTACTAGAAATGAAGTTGAATTCCTGGGTTGGGATGCAACAACCATGCAGGCTTAGCATGAGTAACTGTCAACCCTTCTTCCCGAGCAGGAGCAAGCCTCGTGGGTGTGCCAGTGCGAGGAAGGCATGGTACAGAAGCTGGAGCAGGATTTCAAGCTCACTCTGCAGCAGCAGAGTTCTCTGGACCAGTGGGCTAGTTGGCTGGATAATGTTGTTACTCAAGTCCTGAAGCATCACGAGGGCAGTCCCAGCTTCCCCAAGGCAGCCAGGCAGTTCCTGTTGAAATGGTCTTTCTATAGGTACATTTTCTTTCTCATTTTGGAGATATTTCTGCATCGGGCTTAGGGCATGTAAATAGCTCCTTGAAAAGCCAAGGCCAAGTTCTTTGCTCCCGTGCAACTCTGGTTAACTGTTGCTCTGCCCTGGTACAGAAGGGAGTGTTGTGTTTACTGTAACCTTTCAGGATGGGGATGGGATACTTCATCAACTAATTTCTTAAAGTGCTTTGATACTCTTGGGTTGGAGGTAGAAACAGAACACTGTCCCACAGTACCTTCAGGGTCAAGAATTCACATCAGCTGTGATGCAAGTGTAAAACACAACCCAAATATTTTGTTTCCTGGCCATTTTCCAGCTCCATGGTGATCCGTGACCTCACCCTGCGCAGTGCTGCCAGCTTTGGTTCCTTCCACCTGATTCGCCTGCTTTATGATGAATACATGTTTTATCTGGTAGAGCATCGCGTTGCCCAGGCAACAGGGGAGACGCCGATTGCTGTAATGGGAGAGGTGAGAATTGTTTATTCCTTAGAAACAAACCCAAAATAAGCAGCGCTTGAAGAGACACGAGTGGTTCACAAACTGCACTGTGTCCTGAACACATTTTTATAACCATCTTTGCCGAAGGATTTACTGAGTTTTTTGAGTGCCTGGCACAAGGATTCGGCTCCTTGAGCGTCTTCTGGCTCGCCAATACCTGAGCTGGTGGGGTTTGGGGCAGTCGAGCATCAGCTGGGCTTTGGAGGCCTGGAGGAGGGAGGAAAAGGATCTCCCCGCTTCTCTCCATAACCTGTGGGTAACCAACCCTGACTTTGGGGTTCCCGCCAGGGCAAAGCCCCATCAAACACAAAAACTAAACCAAGCAAAAAAAGTCCCAAAAGTTACTTTCCCTGCAACTTTCAGTGGTACCGTTCACTGAACTTCTTCAGGCCTCTGCAAGCTCCAGAGTTACATGCACAGTCAGCCACTCTCTCCGTTTGTGACTTGAAGAAGAGAAATGATGGGTTGTTTCTGTTGGGGGGGGGGGATTGTTTTTTGGGTTTTTTTAACAGATCAGACGGTAAATCTGGTGCCTGGCTTGCAGGCAGGTGCTGTCCTGCCTAGCTGAAGCCCCTTCCAGTATTTCACTCTGAAATGCCCAGATTTAAAAGGCCCTGATCAACCTGTAACAGCAATATAGAAACTAATGTTAGATTAAAACTGATCTCATTTGCTCCTTGAAGCTCATAACTGTTTTCTTTCTTCCATGGAGCTCATGTAGGGGAGCCAGACAAATGCGTTGCATGCCTTTTGCTTTCCCTTCCCCTCCCATTAGACCCATGCTGTTGCCCCAGGTCAGCAGCGCTGTGAGTTCCCACTATTCCCTGCAAAACCTCGGTCTTTATTGAAATTAAAGGAACATGAAAAGCAGAGAGTGGCTTCCAGCAAAACCTAGCTGTGGGAGGCTTTCATCCTTCAGGTTTTGCCTTTCCTTCATTAAGCTCTTGCAATATTTCTGTTCTCCAGGAGGAGGCTGATTCTTCCCAGCAAAAGAGGATGAATCGTGTCCTTCCATTTCCATTGCTCGCTTTATAACTCCTGCTCTCCTCAGTTCCTTCCGCTGCCCAACTTTGCATGACTTTTCAGCATTGCTGTTACAGCAATTAGTGTTTCAGACCTCATCACAGAGGGAGACGACACATCTCCAGAACCCAATATATCCCTAGCTTTCTGGTTACACTTGGCACCGTGGCCTTGCGAGCCAAAGCACTTTCCTGATGTGAATGCAAAGGCTTTGCAGAGAATTGCACTGAGGTGGATTGATGGTAGGGTCCCAGGAGGGGTGAATAGCTGGCATGTCTGAGCAGCTGCCCGACAGATGCAGAAGGCTGGAGAAAAGGCACCATTCTTTGGTCTGTGACAGCACTTCGTCGTGACTTGGGAGACAGAGAAATTTCCCCCTTTGTTCCAGAGCTCGATCCTGCCCTGGATGTTGTGTGTGGTGTTTGCCCAGAGGTTTAAATGCCAGCGGCAGATTTTTCTCCAAAACATGTGGTTGGTTTTGCTTTCTGCTCTTCACCACTGGCACTGCTGATGCTTGTGGTTTCTCCTGAGCTCTTAAGCTGCTTGTTAGAATTGCTTGGAAATAGATGCCAACTTGCAAGTCTGGCGCCTCGGGTCTCCATAAGCCTCACTTACCTTGTAATTCCTTTTTCTTTCAGTTCGGTGACCTCACATCCCTGTCCCCAACACTGCTGGACAAAGGTACCTCCTCTCCCTCAAGGGAAGTCCCACTGGGTCAGGGTTGAATTGCTGTGGGAGGGGGAACCTTATGCTGGCTCTTCCATCCTGCTCTGTTGGGAAAAAGAACCTCTTCCCCTCCGGTCGCCACTCTCATGCTGAGACCTGTCCTTTGCAGATGACATTAGTGACCTGGGCAGCGAGGTGGACACGGACTCCCGGAGCGTGGGGGAGCCGCTGGTGAAACGGGAACGCAGCGAACCTGGCCACTCGCTGCAGGAGATCTGAAACGGGGGCTCGGCTTTTCTCCAGCCGGACGAAGACATCAGGAGCCAGGTTTGATGGTGGCAAGCCTGAGTCTCCCCGTATCTGCATTATTAGTGCCTCTTAGTTTCTCTTTATGTTTACTTGTGTTTGGGGATGGGCTCCGGGGGTGAGCCCGGGTGGGTGGTGGGACGGGGCTGGTTTGTCTGCCTGCTTTCCTCCAGCATGACTGCTGGCTGGAGGGCAAAGGTCCAAAGTCTGCTACCGAGTGATGGAAGCCTCCGTGGTCAGCAGCGGATCGGACGTGCCTGGCTAGGAGAGGCTGTCCTCTCCAGCCTGAGCGAGGCGGGCAAACGAGGCTTTCTCTTTCAGGGAAGGTGGTTTGGGTTTCTTCCCCACTTCTCAGACTTCACTGTGATACAAACTTGAACCAATCAGTGCCCAAGAAGAAGGAAAAATACCTGACCCTTCTCCTCCAGCCTTTCAAGACAAGCTGTCCTGGCTCTGACTTTGCCAAATCATTCGTGCTGGGGAGCGCAGGACAGTTCGTCTCTCTTGCACCGCCTGGGGAGAGGGCTCCAGGCTGCACATCCAGCTGGTCCCGGTGGAGCGGTGCGCATGCGACTGACACGTACGTGCTCTGGGACTGACACGTGCTTGCTCTGGGACTACGGGACAAGCATTCCCACCTGCTCCTGTGTCTCCCCAGCTGGGTTTTTTCACCGCTGGTCCACGAATGCTCCTGGGACGCTGTCAGGCCAATTCAAGATACCAAAGGACTCTGAGGAAGCGGCAGCTGGTCGCAAAGCGTGTTCGTTGCCCCCTGCGCTCTGATGCCCATGGGCAATCCCACGGGCAATCCCATTGCCCGGGCAATCCCCATCCTCGCCAGGGTACCCAGGCAGAGGGGAACTGATCCCACGTCCTGGGTTTTGTAAAATTCTCGCTTGATGTCCTGCTAAAATGTTGAAGGTAGGGTGCAGCTGCCCACGGGGCTGCATCCGGAGCATGGGCGAGGGTGTGTGACTGCAGTGCCTTAGGGTGGGCCGGCGTGCCCGCTTGCCCCCGGCTCTGGGCAAGCCGGCGCAGCTCAGACTCTGATAAAACAGCCCGTCCCATGTAGCAGCGAGGGGCTCGCACGGGCGCTGGGTGTGCTCAACACTACGGTGGCGTTTCCCCTTGCTGTATGGCTTTGCCTTCTCCTGCGGCTGCGTTGCAGTGGTGGCTCCCGCAGGGCTGAGCTGGGGAAGCTTCTGCCCCAGCGGGGTTGTATTCTCCCTTTCCCTGTCCTGTGGGGTCTGGGCTGACATGGACTACAGGGCAGAGGTGGTGGTGGTGGGGGAAATCTGTCATCAAGCCAAACTGCAAATACAAAGCCCCGGGGCAAATCTTTCTGTGAATAAAGGCCGTGTCATAAATAGCTTTTATTATTATTGTTTCTAATGATACAGTATTTGATGTGAGCTTTTCCAGGGGCCTCGTGTACATTTGCATATCAGAGTATATTCTATCCAAATATATTATTTCCTCATTCCGAATGGTACTAAGGTAGCTGTGACACTTGAAAAAATATTGCTAATGGAAAGTAAAAAGAAAGTGTGTATAGTGGCACATCTTTCCCTCTTACTGTCCCGTGCTGTTGTCTGTCAGGGTGATGTTTGTCTGTAAATGTCTCATATCAAAGTAGCAGGAGACAAGTGAGAAAGCTGGATTTATTTGTAAATAACAACAAATACTCCCTGGGTCAGAGTCTGCACTTCAGATCCTGCTGATGAGATAAGATGGTCTAAAAAAGCAACTGAGCAACCAAGTCTTAAACTCCCCTGCTCCCACTGAGTGTGATAGTAACTTCAGCTGGTGCATTGGCTCTTCTTCGCAGCCGCTACCGACTGAACCCAGCCACCTTCTGCTTACCACGGACGTGCAAACGAGACGCTCTGGAGCTCTGCAGCACTGTGCAAGAAGTCTGGATAACCACCTAAACCCGATATGCACAAAATTCCCAGCTAAACCTGAATAGCAATAAACATGTATCAAATGCTCAGGCCTGTACAATAATTGTTGTGGTCCCATTTCTTCTTTAATCACTGAAGGGAGATGTCAGGCAGATGCTGCAGCCTTGCAGCGTCGGGGGGAGATGCAGGGTCTGCCCAGTGCAGTCTAATTAAAACAGTTTTGGCCAGGGATCCGGTGTCTGCCGGGAGGCAGATTCACTGCGAAACAGCGACCGCTTTGTAGGGGTAATATGCCCATTACACCAGAGTTCACGGAGGGGAGAAGGGGCTGAAAGATCAGGCTGCTGCTAAGCACGGGGCTGTAAGAAGCATTTTCTAACTACGCTTCTGGACTAATTGTGGAGGATGGGAGCAGTGAGACAGGGGTGTGACAAGTGACAGATCGTTCCTGCTCTGACCCTTTGGGAAGGGGAAGGTTTAGCCTCAGCCTCTCTCCCTCTGTGTCTTTCTTGCTCACTTCACTCTCCCGATGGATTATGCCCAGTCTTGCAGGGATGGCTGGACCAGCCTGAGCCTCTTCCTTCGGATACTGAGTCTCAGGGCTAGAACAAGGGACTTATTTCACCCTGGCTCCTTGGGGAGCTGGGCAGCACCTCCTGACCTCGAGCATACCCGTCTGCAAGTGGAAAGCAAAGCACAGTTCAAAATCCTCCCGTTAAAACACACACACAGCCCAGCTTCAGCTTGCCGCTGGCTCCATCGCCCTTCCTAGACGGGCAAATCCCTGCAGAGATTTCGGCGTGAGCGTCGCTGTGGGGCTGGGCTGGCAGGCTGCGGAGCTGCCGGGCTCGGGCGATGGGACCCCAGCGAAGGCGGGGGGAAGCTGGGCTGCCTGCGCAGCCCCTTGCTGCCTGCCGGGGGCAGGCAGTGCCTGTGCGTGGGCAAAGGGTGGTTTGCAGCAACGTCAACGTGTGTGCTTCCAGTCGAGAGACATCTTAGACAGGAGTGTTGGCGGGACGGGGTTCAGCCCCGTAGTGTCCTGAGGCAGTGGATCTGCTTCCCACCACAAATTCAGGCGAGGTGTGTCCACGTTGTCACCTGCCACCAAGTGCCCCGACCCTTCGGGGTGGTGGCTGCTCCCAGCTCCCCTGCCAGGCGGCACTTGGCCGCCTCTCTCATCCCAGGACTTTCTCTTCCACCCACCATCTCACCGCCACGCACTTCCCAACCAGCAGAGAAAGCCAGGAGGTGGTAGGGGGGTGACACCAAGTTCACCAACCCCAGGACATCCCAGGAGCAGTTTCGCATTGCTGGTCCCTGTGGCTCATCCCAGAAGGATAAGCTTCGAGCCGGACAGCACGGCACAGCCCGGGGATTCATCGGGAGCAGCCCTGCGTGGCTGGGGCAAGGTGTTTGGGCAGGGGAGACTGCAGTGCTGCCTGCAGAGCTGCAGCTGGGGACCGGCCTGCCCGTGTGGGAGATGCTGCCAGTCTGGTGACAGGTTGTTTCGAGAGCTCAGGGTGGATGCGGGATGAGCCCTTGGCCGGTCCTTGTGGCCACAGGGCACAGAGAAACATCAGCTAAACCCCGTGCCTGGACAGATGGGCTGAGGGTCAGCTGGGTCAGGCTCCCGGGATCGACCTCTCCAGACATCAGCTCTGGTTCTCGACCGCCTCCACAGGCATCGCCCCCCGCCTGCCCTCGCCCCCCGCTGCTCTGACAGCCGTGTCCCCACCTCCACGTTGCCCTCCCGCTGCTGCCCAACTGGGGGCTCAAGCATCATCCCGGACCTCCTTCCCCATCTCGTACTGAAGCTATGGGCCGTCCTGCCCCACAGCATCACCCCCTCCCAGGGGCCCCATGCCCTGCCCTGGGCTTCACCCCATTCTTGGGTGCTCTTCTGCTCCCTGCCGTTGGGTGGGGGGTATTTCTGCAGGAAGAAGGACCTTTGCCTGTCACTCTGGCAGCACCAGGAGCCCAAACGATGCCCTGGACTGAACCCTCCCTCCACATCCATGTGACTGTTACTGTCCCTGTGCAAGACAGAGAAACTGAGGCACGGATCGAGATGCCTCATGGCAGCAGTTCACCGCCTTGCTGGGTACCACTGGGTACCAGTACCACGGCCTCTTCCCCTCCTCTACCTGCCTGGCCTGGCTCAGCAGGCATGGCAGGAGGAGCCTGACTGCTCCCCGGGCTCAGCTGGGGCTGTTTAATCTGCAGACAGGTTTCACCTGGAGCCTGGTGGGTCTCGGTGGGGGCAGGTCTGTAACCACCCGCTTGGGCTCTTTCTGGGTGGCTGCTCTTATAAACCAGCAGCCCGCTTGCTCTAAGGGCTTTTTCTTTCTTTCTTTTCCTTTCCTTTCCCTTTGTCTTTTAGGAGCTTTAGTTTGGAGGTGGGGAGGGTTGGGGCCTACTGCCTGCGGGTCTCTAGGATGTAGTGCCAGGACTTTCTACCCTTCCCAGCACTGCCAAGCAGGTAAGGGCACAGCACAGAGCTGCCTCTGCTCCCCCATCCCTGGGCTGGGGCTGGGGCTGGGGCTGGGGGCTGCAGCCAGGGTTCTGCCCTGGGGCTGGGCGACGTCAGGAAGCGTCC